CTAACCCCCTAACAATTATCTAAGTCGCTAATAACTATCATATATTAATTGTTGTTAATAAAAAAAAACAATAAATAAGGACTTACATGAGAGAGACAGAGCTTCGTTGCGCAAAACCCTCCAAAAGAAATTTAGAGAGAAGGAGGAGGAGGAGGTTTAGAGAGAGGATGAGAGGGTGGAAATGAGGTAAAAAAGTGAAAAACGGATTTATATACACCGCGGATAACAAGCCCTATCGTGGGCGTGTCTCTCTCCTAGAACACGCCCTACTTTGGCTGTGTCTCTCTCCTACCGCACACGCCTTTACTTAGGCGTGTTTCCTTCACAAGCTCACGCCCCACATGAGCGTGTCTATCTCCATCAGAACACGCCCCATGTGGGCGTGTTTGGGTGCTATAGATTCGTAATTTTTTACAAAACGACAACTTATTCGTAATTTTTTATTAAAAAAGTAATAAATTAATTTTTTTGCATATGAAAGGATGATATATAGAGGAACGCGTTAATTTTTGGGTTATTAAGTTTATTTCTTTAGATAATAGCATTTTTTTTTTAAAAAGGATTATTTTTAGATAGTTACAAAAATATGTAAATATATTTTAAGAAAAAAAATTTCTGTTTTTACTCCAAATTTTTTTTTTGTTATATTCACATAAAAATGAATGGATCTCGTTGCAAAGAAAAGAGAAAAAAACAATTAGAAGAAATGTAGGACCCACCCACTTTTATGTTAGTGTGTAAGGAAAAAAAATTCTATAGCAAAAATAGAAATATAAAACTATTTTTTAATAAGCTAATTAAAACATTCATTAGTAGGTGTAAGAACCCGGACCGTTAATTAAGGTATTTAATTAATTAATTATGCAAAATTAGGAAATGATTTCATAATTGACCCTAATAATTATTAAGAGGCTTTAATAATTATGGTAAGTGATTAAGAATGCTGAAAGTCGCTTTTCGGAAGAAAAGTGCAGATACCGGTTCTGCTAGTCGGTATAAATGCGTACCAAAAAAGTATCCCGGAAAATTAATGTAAGTGCATGATAATTACTACAATAATATATAGAACTTGTAAAACGATTTCCAAGTCCAAACAATGAGAACTGATGCCAGAAACTGATACTGGCTATGAAAAGCGCCTACCGGAAAGGTGCTCAGAAAATTATAAGAAAAATATGATAATTCTTGGAAAAATGTGTAGTTTCAGAATCCAAAGTTTGGGATTAAAATGTTAAGCGTATTAATTAAAGTTAATACTGTGTGTTTAATGCTTAAGTGCCTATATATACTCTAATCATTGGGCACAAAACCCTAGAACCACTACTCCTACGTGACTTGAGCGGCTGAGTGCACCTTGGCACTGTTTCATTGCTGCTTTCTTCTTCCTTGAGAGTCTTGGAGCCATTTCTCCCTTGTTCCTTATGAGTTCTTCTTCTTAAACACTTGTGTGAGGGAGAGTCACCTTTGGGAAGGGGTTTGTGGTGCTCTTTCTGAGTAAGGAGGTCAGCTTGAGGGAGTGTTGGAGGCTGACTTTGGGTTGGTGGAGTGAGTGAACCTTGTGCTTCATTTTTGAGGTCCAAGGAGCCACCTTTGGTGAGGAAGAGCCTTGCTTGTCTTCCATTTTCGCACACCCTGTGTGGTCAGTAGTTGAGGGGCTGTTGGTGAGCTCCAAGAGCATCTCCATCTTCTGTTTTGAGTTGTGGTATGATCACCAACCTTTAACTTGAGTTTTAAGGCTTAAAAATGGAAGCTTGATGCATGTTAAGGCTAAAAGATGATAACTTGTTGTTGGGTAATGCTTAACACACCTAGAAATGCATGTTTAAGTGTTTAAAATCGATAAAAACCCAACCTTTGAAGGATATCTTCACGAAATGCAATTTCTGCATTCTGTCGTGAAATATCTGGATATCTGCCCGTGGAATATCCGCATATTGGATATCCGGATATCACATATCCGGATATGGGGTTTTGGGATATCTGGATATTGGATATCCGGATATGGGAATCTGTATATCCGGATATTGCATATCCGGATATGGGCAGTGAGATATCCGGATATTGCATATCCGGATATGGTCCCGAGGAATATCCGGATATTCTGGGATTTCGCAGAACAGTAGCTGTGTTGTGTGTACAGTAGGCTATTGGGGGTTTGTGGACCCTAGATTGATGAAGTTGAACTTTCGTAATTAGTTGACTAAGCCAGAATCATGTGAGTAAGGGCTTGTGGCTTTGTTAGAAGCTTTAAGACATAAAACGTAATGAAAATGCGTTGTCTTTAATTTGTATGCATGTGGTACATGTTTATTGATTTATATTTGGTCCCTATCAGATTGTGATCTGCTGTGATTGGACTTTGAGCTTGTGGCATTGGATAGCTAGCTTAGAGGTAAGCTTTCGTGTCCTCGGTTTAGCCATGTTGTGGTTCCACCATGTCCCATGGGGAGATGGTATATGCATGCTGTGTTACATGCTTTTAATGTTTTGGAAATGCTGTTGAGCTATTGTATGTTAGTGCCTTGTTGATATGCATGGAGGTGTTCCACCTATACGGTAAGCCTGAGTATGTAGAACATACAAGAGGGTGAGGCTGTTGGTGAGGTGCAAGCGGTGTTCCTTGTACTACATGTAAGGAATAGACGTATTCCTACATTTCTCTGGCCAGTAGATAGTGATAGACACACATGCCATAGATATCTGTTGCACTACATAGTTTTGGAACTGATAATGATATAAATGCTTTTAGAACTTATATTGCACATGTAAGTGAGCTTGGGGTGGAAGATCCTTGAGGACCCCTTGTCTTACTGAGATTTCTTCTTTAGAGATCTCACCCCATGTTTGGGGAATGCTTATTTCAGGGTCAGGTAATGTTGAGACCTCCGGCGGCAGGAGGCCGGAGCTGAGTTAGATTGCTGTTCTATTCTGCCATGATTGGATGCTGGATATGCATGCTGCTTATATGCTCATAGCTTCAGTTTATGTTTATGGAGTTTTATGTTGAGACTTGTTGTTTACTATGTTTATTTGGTGAGCATGAAGATTGTCCATGACACATAGTATTGTTATGTCTTGATTATGTCTTGAGTCTTTTGGAGTTGTAATAATGTATCAGGATATTGTCCGGATTATGAGATGTAATACCGTGATTTAGATACACACTTTATTTATATATTGAGGTATTTCAGTAGATGTCTTGTTGCAATTTACATACAGGCGATATTTTATGAAATTGATTAAGTAATCAAGATGGTAATTGATAATGACATCATAATTGAAAAGAAAAAGAATATTCCGCATTTTTAATTAAGCACCGCTTAATACGATGTAATGTTAATATTCCGAGTATACACGGAGTGTTACAGTAGGCTCATTGGGAATCATGATAGATATATTAATAATATAATCTAATAGTATGTTCACATACAAATTCAATAGGTGAAAGCATGATTATGTGGGTCCATATGAGCTGCAGCTCAACAACTTGCATTATCTTTAAAATTTCCTAAGATTTCCTAAGCTAGAGGCAATACTATTGAACATTCCAAATTTGATATCTTGTAATACTTCAAGCACCTCTAAACCTTTCTCTCTAAACTTTTTATTTCCAACAAATCATAGTTATAATTGTAAATGTAAGGAAAAGATGAATTTAAGAGGCATATATTAGCTCAAAGAAAAAAAAATCTCTGCATATTTATTGAAAGCATTATAATTGGTTATGCTGTCTTAGGTTGATTATTGAAAGCACAATTTATAGAAAGCTTTTATTATTGTAAGCGAAACTTCTTGTTCCCTTAACTTTTCATTAAGAGAGAGATGGCTGACTTTCTTTTTTATTCCATTGTTGATGGTGAAAAGTGCTGGTGAAACCATAATGGTGATGAAAAATTGTTAGGAGTGCTTTAATTTTCAGCAGTGACACCAAGCATTATGATTTCATAGAAATTGGTTATGTTGTCTTAGGTTAATTACTTTGCCATCAACGAAATTGTTTTACCTTATTAGTATTTTATGTTTTTTAATATGGTATACAGTTTGATTTACATTTTTGTCCTTTAAAATTCATTGGATATTCAATATGAGTTGTGTGAGGTGTTTAGGTAGGAGTTTTTTTCTCAAGATATCTAGGTATTTTACAATGATATTTTAAATTGTCCATGTTTAATACAAGTTTTTAAAAAATTCATTCAGTAAACTGATTTGTCCATCATTTCTCATTTTTTTTTAAAATAGTGACGAAAAATACCGTTTAAGAATACCACTTCGAAGGTAATATTTTGAAATTATCGTCAAAATAGAAAAAATGAGCGCGAAGTAGATGACGAAAATGACCATCTTCTAACCCTATATTGTGTACTGCGCAAATTATTTAGTCAAGGGTTGCTTTCGTAATTTCACCTCATTGTTCCAACAATATTTTACCTTCAACCAAACATATATTCAGGAAACTTAAACCAATTTTTCGATAATATTTTGATTTACCAAATAATTTTTTTTTTAAACTTATTTTCTTATCATATTCTCAATAATTACAATTTCCTGATAAAGAAAATTTTCTCCTTTATCAAATATCCCCTAGATATTGAAGTTCTCCTTCTGTATTAAAAAAATAAAGTTCTTGTTCTGTCCGTTAAAATATGTTCGCAACATATGAGGTGGCTCAATAAAGTCAGGGTATTCTTTTTCAAATATGAAAAATAATAATATAATTATACTATTTTTGCTTTTATGGTTATTTTCTCTCATATTTTTTTGGACTCATATTCCCATGACACAAAAAATATGCTCCAGTTGGATACAGGTGGCTAAAAAAAAGTATTTGATAAGTTAACTTAGCGAAGAAGAAGGAAGAAAGCTTCAAAACATTTATTTCATATTTGGGACCATCTTTTACTAATTTAAGATTGTAGAGTTAACGCGTGGAACCAAAAGTTGCAGCATCATTCAGTGCATTAATAACGGGAAAGTGAATTTTTGAGGCAGTGCACGTCGCTAAACCTTTATATGTTTTTTTATTTTCAAGTGTAGGCTATACATAACAGTAGTTGCTTAATTATCTTCTTTTTTTTTTTTTTTTTAATTACACTTGACCTCGCTTAAAATAAAGTACCCAACACTCTTACAGCACAGGGTCATACTTAAAGCTTCACATAATTGTTGTCAATCATCCACTTGAGGCTCCAGTGGTTAGAATCACATTTGTAAGACCAATAAGCCCATCCAAATGTGGCACGAGAGTATGCCTCTATTTCAACTTGCGCAAATTGTTGGTAATCTTTCTTTGTTGCACTCTTCACATTCCATTCACCACTCCATTCCCCTGCCACATTTCACCAGCACAATGCACGTTATGATATGCTATACTTTATATCTCAATTCCGTAACATAATCTAAGCATTTGATATACGCAACAGTCTTACATATATATATATATATATATATGTAGAAGTAGAAAACTCACCAACAAAGCTGAGGGGTCCATTTGATTTGCTCAGAGAGCTAAGATCTGAAGCTCTATATTTTTTAATATAATCTATGTTCTGCTGCACATTCATATTGGAGAATTTATTCGAAAAGAGATTGTAGTAATGCACGTCAATGACAACTCCACTGAAAGCTCCAGCAAATGACAGAAGCTCTTTTGGATCTCTATCCAGAGGGCTAGACACGATCACATAAGCACTCGACGTGTGTTTCCGTACAGCATCATAACCTTCTTGATAATATTTTTTGAGGCTTTGAAGATTGACGCCTAGAGGCTCATTCATCAGCTCTATTGCAATTAGACTTGGTGTGTTGGCATATCTGGAGAACAATTTAAAGACTCAAAACTAATATGATGTATTCATAAATAAAAGACAACCTAGTTAATGATATATTTTTTAAAATAAACCTTTCAGCTAAGAAGTCTATGGTTGCCACAGTATCAGGTATGTATGGATCTCCCCATTCTCGATACCCATCTCTCGTGGCACTGTGAGGGCTACCATTTTGTGAACCTTGAACAGCATGCAGGTCCACAATTACTTTCATTCCATACTTTCTGCAATTTCACATTAAAGAGACATTTATTATGACCATTGATAGACAAAGTGGCTTTTTCATTTTCAAGGTACCAGCCCTTAAGTTTAATTAGTCTTACTGTGCCCATGTGAAGGCATTATCTAGTATTTCCAAGGATCCTCCAACAAATGGCTTTGGTGGTGTTGGGTCTTGAGCTATCCACCACCCAACTGGAATTCTGACAGCATTTAAGCCATTTTCTGACATGAATCTAAAATCATCTTCAGTGATATACGTATTCCAGTGATCCTGCATGCCAAAGCATATATCAATCAATTACATTAAATTGCTGGTCGTCTTTGTTCTATTTTAAAGCACAAACTTTACCTGCATGATTTTGGGAGCTCTGTCTGGGCCATAACCATTTGTTATTTGGTATTCGCCTTTTATAATTGTGTCAGTCAAAACAGTCATTTTGAAGACAGAAGGGTCACTATCATCCCAGCTAGAGCCTTCATAATCTGCAATCACTATAGTCTCCGATGTGGCCTGATTAACATTATTCAAGTATAGAAACATCACCAGCTACACAATCTTGAAGCAATTATCACTGATGAAAGTGGTCATATATAGATTCATGAAGGTTTGCCATCATCATCAAGTGATCAACAACACAAGTAAGACCATAGTACCTGTAGAAAAAGACCGTTTGGTGCTCTGATGCGAATCCTGTTTGGATCATCATCATTCCTCACAATCTGAAATGCTTCCATATCGCTAGGTGAATCTGAATTAGCCACTAATTTGTTTCCTCCAACTTGATTGTCCAATCTCACAAATTGCTTATTGGACACTCTAAAATTGAAGGTCGACTCATTGACCCTCCACAGCTGCGTTGTTGATAGTTACCAAAAGTAGTCACAAAATTAAATATATAATTAAGATTTATAAATATGTACCAAATAAATAAATAAATAAAACTCTTCAAAGTATATAATTCTACATGTATTGTTGAGAAACCAACCCTGAAAGTTTCCCAACCCGAAGCTTTGGTTCGATTGGCAACAACAACAGTTCCTCCCCCATTTTCTGCACAGAGATAACTCTGTAACTTGGTAGACATGAACTGAACTTGAGTTCCATCCTGAAATGACCAAATCAATGCTACAGTAAGGTCACTAGGATAGAAAATTATTAATAAGGGATAGAGATTAACATACCAATAAATCATTGTTGGTTATTCCATCAAAGAGAGAAGGTTTCATCCACCCTTCAATAAGAAGCCAATTTCCAAGATTTACAGCTTTGAGTGGCAAATTGGAATTTTCAGTCAGCACAACTGCAACATCGTGACACGAGAGGCAGAAAGCTAACAGAAGGGTCGTGTAGAAGAATTGATTCCCCATTTTATTACACTGTGGTTGTGTGGAGTGAGTGATACGCACGAAGTTAATGTATATATAAAGATAGATAGTGTGTGTTCAGAATCTAGAAATATCAAGTACGGATTCCCAAGTGCAGGGTTATTATCTTCGACTATACATTTTTACTTGAGTTTTAGGTGCATTTCTAGTAATCTAGTTGTTATGTTTTGTTGGCTAGTTGATTGTCGTATTAAAGATTCTCCCAGATACTTTTAAAGATTTAACATATGAGCAGTGTCGTGTGTCCCGAATGTTTTTACAATAAATCATTCACGAGCGGCTAATATTACTCGTTTGACAAATATCATGTCAAGTCATTCGTATTAATAGCAGTTTTCTAGAAATTAAGTGTCTCGTGACAAATGGAATTCTTTTTAATATGTAGTTTCTTCTTTTTTTCAATGATGAGAGTATTTTTTTCCGATTCCGAGTGATGTTAATGCTTGACCCCAAATTGACTTGTTAATGAATTTTTGTTAAGTATAATTAAAAAAATATGTATCAACTAAGCAAAGAAATTGCTTGTTTGCTACGCAACCTGTGGGCATTTTGATTTTTGTAATTCTTGATCCAAATACACATGCATATCCATATATCATATATGTATGTTAAGAAATTTTATAATATTTAATTATTTATTAATTAAATATAGTAGTAAAAAATAAATTCAAGATCACTTGATCACAAAAACTCTAATATCATATAAAATAATTATTTTAACTCAAAAAATTAAAAATAATATTAATAATTTTATACTATATTTTTCTAACATAGCTTTCAGCCTCTCCCTCCCATAACTTAATGCGTCATGCCGTCATGAAAATGTTTCTTAATTATCTCAACAACAAAAAAATCACCCATATAATTATTCTATTTATTCACTTGATTAATCTTTCGAATGCTTAACACTTCTGTTTGGTAAGCATCCCCCTTTACATTACTGTTTGTTTTTTTTTATTTGTTTTTTTTGCAGGTTCCCCCTCAATCATCCGCTGCTTTTATTGTCCCGCCTTTATTCTGAAGCAAAATAGATAACAATAAAACCTCCAACCACGTAAATTAATTGGTAAGGGTTATTTCAATAATTGTGTTAAAATTAAGTAGGAAAACTTTTGCTACCCATGTAGTCTCACCTAATTCGAATTGAACTAGTCATCCAAACCAAGAAAATAGATGACAATGAAGATATTTTCGTTTTGACAAATAAAAATCACAAATCACAGCAAAAATATAAGTTGGGAACAAAGGAAGCTACAAATCGAGCAACATCATCATCGGCTAAACATGCCCAAGGGCCAAGGTTGCTCCGAGGCATGCACAATAGGGAATAAAATCTTCTGTTTCTTTGTTTTTTTTTTTTAATATGTCTATAATTGTAATTAAAGTCAACAATTTAACATAGTTTTTTTCTTTCTAAATTGTCAATATATTTCTATAATCATTAATTTTTTTCCTGAATTGATATTATTTAACTGTACTACGAAAAAGATCAAAAGACTTGTAATCTTGGTTTTCAATTACAGTGCATGCGCACTCAAGAATTCCACTTTATTCCTATTAATTGATTTCGATTAAATCAATTATACACTAAATTTTTAGGCGCGGATGACTACTGCTTACCAAAGTGTAATATCATTATCATTTTCAATCTTTCTCACCGACAGTATCGTCGCACAAGCTGTTGAAGGGTTATTAACGATTGATGTAAAATTTGAACCAATGAAATTTGATAATCACTTTCTTGAAATCTGATTTCCATTAGTTTATAATACATTTAAAAAAATATAGATTAACCTACTAATATTTATATATATATAGAATAAATGTTATAATAAATTAATATTTAAAACATATAAAATAATATTGCACCAAAAAAGTTTATAAAATATCCAATTAATAAATTACAGGAATTTTTATTAGCAAATGTCACTTGTAATTTATTTTCTTATATTAATTGTACACTTCTAAAAAAAATTGTATCTACTTTGATGGAAATGAAGGAGGGATGAGATACATATTTAATAATTGTCAAGCTGCAATGGCAATCTGCAAGAGACTTGGATATCCAAATTTATTTATCATTGTTACGTGCAATCCTCAGTGGCAAGAGATAAGATGTTTTACAGCAAAAGGAGGAATCAAACCAGATGATCGTCCAGATATTGCTCGCAAGGTATTCCAATTGAAACTAAATCACTTAATGATCAACTTCAAGAAAGGATGCTTCTTTGGCAACATTGTGGTAGGTAAAGTTAAAATCCTAACTGCAACAACTTATAACTTACCCCTATCATTCTTAGTATGCAGAGTTAATCATGTTCAGAAATGAATAAATTAATCTATTATTTAAATTCAGGGAAAACTTCAAAAAAAAAACTTATAACTTTTTTCATAATTATTTACTTCCTTTTCAAAATTTTGAATCATTTAACCCTCTGACTTGAAGTTTTTTTTATCATTTACTCCCCTAAGAGAGGGGGGAAAGTGATAAAAAAACTTTAAGTCAGGGGATAAATGATAAAAAAAATTAAATAAAACTGTAAATGATTCAAAAAATTTACGAAGAGGTAAGTGATAATTAAAAAAACTTGTAGAATTTTTTTTGAATTTTTCCCTTAAATTTATGGTGTAGAAATGTATACAATAGAGTTTCAGAAGAAAGTATTGCCTCATGCTCATATTTTGCAGTGGCTACACCCAGAAGACAAGCTACAAACTGTTGATATGATTGATAGAGTTATATCCGCTGAGTTATTAGATAAACATTAAAACCCTCGATTGTTTGAGGCAGGGACTAAATTCATGATGCATGGTCCATATGGTCCGGAGAATCCCAACTCATAATGCATAAAGGAAGGTAGATGCTTGAAGTTCTTTCCTAAGAAGTTTGCTGACAACACTTCATTTGGTGAAGGCAGTTATCTTGTATATAGAATAAGGAATACAGAAAGGAAAACCATAAAGAAAGGTATTGAATTGGACAACAGGTACGTTGTTCCTTACTATCCTAAACTACCAATGAAGTATAAAGCACACATCAACATAAAGGTCTGTAATAAGTCTAATTCCACCGAGTATCTCTTCCAGTATGTGAATAAAGCACCTGATAGAGTCATTGCCACTGTCACACACGAATCAAGTGATACTGCTAATTCTGACGTAGTCGAAGAAATTAAGAATTGTAATGACTGTTGATACCTATCCGCGTGTGAAGCTATTTGGAGGATTTTTGCATTTGATATACATCATAAGTGGCCTCCACGTGAAAATGGAAATTCGTGTAAAAAAACTAAGAACGTTATTCACCAAAAAATGTATCAAAAGATTTGAACTTTAATATATGAGTCTGTAGTTTTCTATTTAAATTTAGTAACATTTATTATATTCATATTTCCTTCAAAATTTATTTTTATGTATTTTACAATCTTTAGCGTATAATATTCATATCAACACGTAATAAAAATCATTTTATCACAATCCTCGAGCATCACATAAGTTAAAATACTTGTGTGTATATATATGAAAAAATTGCTCTCATGTTGGTAGAGAGTAGATATCTTTCCTACACATCTATTGATTTCCATGGAGCTCTATTTTTATTTTTTTATTTTTTATAAATGAGTGAGTCTCATCCATGGTAGTGTCTATAGTAAGAGAAAGCTACTCTCATATAACATGAGATTAATAAAGCCAATATATATATATATATATGGGTTTAATGTTTCTTCAGTAACCAAAAACGACGTCATCTTGGCAAAAAAAGATATTTTTGTGATTCTAATTTATTCTAGGGTTATATTAGTCTTTATAATTATAATTTTTTAATCTTCCAACCCCAAAACGATGTCGTTCAGGCTCACTGGAGTTAAGTTATTTCCATTGATCGGATATATATATATATATATATATATATATATATATATATATGTTTATCTTTTCTCCTGTCACAGAAGATAAAATTATCTTTAGCAACCCCAAAACTACGTCATTTTGATGGTTGAGGAAATTAATTAAGTGTTTTTTTGGTAACATTCATATATGAAAAAAAGAAACAAAATTCCTAAAATATCTTTCATTAATTCCCCTAACCCTTAGAACGACGTAGTTTTGGGTTGCAGAATATAACTTTATCTTCCGTGGCAAGAGAAACACTTTTCCGTATATATATATATATATATATATATATATATATATATATATATATATATATATATATATATATATATATATATATATATTATATATATATTTAATATTTCTCATGTGATAATTTATTTCATGCAACATATAAAAAATTTGGATGGAACTAGGAGTGTGAATAGGTCACACTGGCTTACAAGGGCCTTCAACCTGGCCTATGCGAGGCCTCGCTTGACTTTTTGATGAATTAGATTAGGCTTAGACTTATAAAATAGCCTTTTAAAAATAATAGGCCATTGGCCAACTAAGTAACAGTCTGGCCTTAAAGCCTGTAAGCCGACTTGTTTAATTTTTAAAATAAAATAATATATTTAGCAATTATCATAAATATTATTCATCTGTACGAAGTCTGCCAAGAAAAAAAATCAATTTTTGTTGTCATGAACATTATTTAAAAATCTTTGTGTTCTTGTTAAAAAATTTGTTTCAGAATTTTTATAATTTGGACCCTTATTAAAAATATTGTTTAATGAATGAGACATTTTATTTTAGTTTAATTTGCAACTTGATAGGTCTAAAAGGCCTCATAGGCCATATTAGATTTTTTATTTTTAACAATAGACCATATAGGCTCAACATATTTTTTCGTAGAATTAGGCCATAAAAGATAAAGTGTGGTCTAACCTGACCCATTTATACTTTATGTGGAACTAACTAAAGAAATGAGAGAGAATAAATAAATGAATTTCAGCTATCTTTTTATGTGTTTTATGAAATAAATTATCTCATGTAACATGAAAAATAATATTTTCACCTAATTTTTTATATGTTATATGAGATAAATTATCTCATATATAACACATGATAAATAATATTCCTATATATATTGCCTTGCATTTATTGGTTTAACCAAGATAATTTATTGATTAAACAAATAAAAAGTAAAAAGTCACATGATGCTA